GAAGTGCAGATCACCACTGTGCTGGACTGAAGTAGGTGACACACAACTAGCCAAGGGATAAGTACCTGACAACACTCTCACTGGCCTGGAAATCATAAGAGAGACAACCGAGAAGATTGTAAAAATCTGAGAACGACTAAAGACTTTAAGAGACAGACAAAAGAGTTATCCAGACAAAAGACGAAAACCCTTGGAATTTCAGGTAGGGGACCGAGTGCTATTAAAGGTCTCACCCTGGAAGGGGTTAATACGTTTCGGAAAACGTGGGAATCTAAACCCAAGGTATATCGGACCATTCAAGATCCTTGCAAGGATCGGCCCGTTAGCCTACAAACTTCGTCTACCGCAGGAACTCAATAACGTACACCCTACCTTTCATGTGTCAAACTTGAAGAAATGTTTGTTCGATGAGACCCTCATCGTCCCTCTAAACAAAATCGAAATCAACGAGAGTATCCACTTTATAGAAGAACCAATTGAAATCATAGATAGGGAAATTAAAAGAACAAAACAAAGTCGCATACCCATCGTGAAGATCCACTGGAATGCAAAGCGAGGACCTGAATACACCTGGGAATGCGAAGATCAAATGAGACACAAGTACCCACATCTTTTTCCCTAATCCATAAGTGTTTTGCTTACATTAAATTTCGGGACGAAATTCCCTCTAACGGGGGGATGATGTGAGAACCCGATATTTCGATTCTATGTAATGACTTAAAAAGCCAAGTATTGTAACCATTTTCGAAAATAATGTAATTAACTTTGAAAATAAAATGTACGAAAGTCTCTATTTGGTTACGTACGATGTTAGATATGATTAAACTGTGAGCGTATATAAAAAGAACATTCAAATCTGACTTTGTATGAGGAAGTTATGATTTTTCCAAGTTCGGTATAGCGGTAGACAGCTAAAAACTCGAAACAGAGAGCGAGCGACTCTTCGCTGGAATGACCTAAATGAGAATCGAAGGTCTCGATAATGGTATTTCAACGGTAAAAAGTTTGGCAAAAACCAACATCGGATAAAGAAGTTATGGATTTGTAACGAACTTTTCTTACCCCGACCTTTTAAAAATAAATAATAAAAATAATTTCAAATTTTGCCGATGGATTCTAAACGAAAGTTGTAGAGAGTAGTCTCACCTACGCGTTGATATAAAGAACGTCGAAAACGGAGTTCGTATGAAGAAGATATGAATTTTTTGAAGTTTACTAAATAATTAAAATATAAATTTAAATCAAATTTCGGTATTATCCGAAGGGGGAATCACCGGGCCAATCCAAGTTACGCCCAGCGTACTCGAGGACTAGGCCTCAGAACATCCATGTCGCCCCTCTACGAAGCTATGCCCAGTCCCATCCGAGGAAGTCGAGGATGCGGTCACGCATGACGCACGCATACGCCCAGCGTAACTGCGTACGTCCAACGTACCGAGGCGGTTCCCAGCCCCTATCTAAATAATCATATGTGGTTTATAAACTACTACATGACTATTTTCGTATGAAATATATATTCTCGATAACACCTTGTCTTGTGGAAATAAAATGTGTATATATATATATATATATATATATATATATATATATATATATATATATATATATATATATATATATATATATATATATATATATATATATATACGAACCAAACGCTTCATTTATACATTAAGTATATGTCACCAGTTAGGTCACTTTACGTGTTATACTTTATATAACAAGTGAACATTACACTAAGGTTTACTATATGAACGAAACACACTTTGAAAAACTATAATAAGTATAGTTTACGAGAAAATCATGAACATTTACATACTAGGAACACTATATCAAGGAGATATTTTCACATACAAGAACAAATGGACATTTTCATGCGTAAATCTGTTTTATATTAAATTTTGTGAGACATTTCACGTACTTTCGATTATGAATTTTAAGTCGTGTATTATATACCATAATCCCTTGTAAGGGGCGTGATACTTGTGTATAGATCTATACGGGATTGGCAATCCCACACCTAAGCTGTTAGCTACAGGTAGGCCGACATGCCTGGGTGACAAACGTCATAACTTTCCAACGCCTGAAGAATGTTGATATAGGCATCCTGGTCAAATAGCATGGGGTTTTTCAAATGCCTTAACGATTTATACATAAAACTACTATTTTAGGCATGAAAGCACTATTGCATTATAGTTTTGGAAAAATCAAACTACCATCTACTATAGTAGAAAATATGGGATTTTCTAGGAACGTTTAACATGTACAAACCATTTTTCATTCTTTTTCATATAAACATTGTCACTAAATACTTATGAACTCATCAGCTTAAATGCTGACCTACTCTTTCAAAACCATTTGTATTTCTCAGGGATTCAGTAATACAGGTAAACTGCAGCTTTTGAAGAAAAGGACGCTGCGGCATTAGTTTAATTTCATTTTAAACATCATATTGTAATTTCTTTTGAAACAAGTACCTTTCAACAATGTAAACTTTTAAATTATATATGTGATGGTTGTATTGCTTTCTTTACTATGTATTCAATTGTTGTGATACTACATGAAGTCATCTGCCCTCGAACGATTCCACCGTTCTGGTTTGGTGGTGTGACAGTAACGCATCCAGACGATCGGAGAAAACCCTAACCAACTCGTCGAGTCCCTTCAGTCCATTCTCTCATTCAGATGTTTTTAAGCAAAATTAAGGCCCCATACTCTAGATCTGGTCTTCTAAGGCTGAAATACCACATAAAGCTGCAAGCTTGACGTTCATGCATGGCATCTAGGGCTCAATATGCCAAAACAAAGCTCTTTAAGGGTTAAATGCATGAAAGTTGGCCAATAGCTTGATAAAGCTTAAATCTTTAGGCCCAAGGGACCACATACTGTCCAGATCTGAATTCTCATCTTCAAGGCATGCTCGAACAACTAAGGGACTTGAAGAGAAGATGGAAATTAGCATAAACTCCCTAGTAAAGAGATCTAACAAACAAATGGCTAAGGTAATAACTTTTTATCTCCAAGTGGCAGCTAACACTGAAAGAACATTGGAACCAAGGGATCCTTCTCGTTCCAAGCCTTTTGCTCCTCAAACTTCTTCAAAAAATGTAATAAAACATACAATCTTAGCCTCTCTCTCTCTCTCTCTCTCTCTCTCTCTCTCTCTCACAGATGAATATAGCTCGATTAGGATTTCTCTCAGGGTGGTAAAGTGAAGAGGGAGGCGGGGTAAAGGAGTTAAAGTCCTTTAAATAGGATGCAAGCCTGAATAATTAGGGTTTCGTCAAACAGACTCAACTCGTCTAGTCTAGTCCTCCGACTCGACGAGTAGACTTCATATTTCACGCGTCTTGATTAACTCTCTACGCGATGAGTTGGGACCAACCAACTTATCGAGTAGGTCCTCTAATATGAATAAAATTTTTAAGTTCCTCATCCAGGAAATCGAGGTGTTACAAAAACTAACGAAATGATTCAAACGTATAAAATTGGATTCCAAAAACACTAAACCAGAATCAAAAAAATGTTATAGTCTGTAGTAAATTCTAAATGAGGAGTAGGCTATGAGTTGGGGATGGCCCATGGATGTCGATGACTTAAGGGGGAAGGGGAAATAGTGGGGTTTTATTTTGGAGAGCCGGTAGGTATAGTAAGGGGCTTATTATAAAATTAGTTAAAAATGATAAATTCATTAAAAAAACAAGATAGATGTCATTTTACATGTATAAAAAGACCAAGCTAGAGCAATCATTGTCATTAATAAAAAAAAAGCTAGTGAAGAAAACTGTATATTTAGAGAACCATAGGGGTCATTTATGTATATATTGTCTAGAATATATTATTGACGATGTGAAACCCAACGAGTATTTGTTACACTTGGTTTTTCATTTCCAGAATATATAATGTCTAGGGCCAATTATGTATATATTGTGTAGAATATACTATTATAGTACTCCCCTCACCCACCTACCCACCCACCTTTTATACTTTTATACTTCTATAGTTCTCCCATGCACGTTTAATTTAGATTTAAATGAGCATCTTTCGATAACAACAAGTTCATCTTTTCCATCAAATTAATTTATTAACTGCGCTATGCAACTGACTCGCTACAACTAACATCAAGTCATCAAATCATAGTCCAGAATATGAACCCAAAATTAACTCATAATCGACGCCAAATCAAACAAAATGATTTAAACCTATCGACCCCAAATAAAACAAAATGATTTAAACCTATAAAACTTGATGACAATAAAACCAAAACCAAAATCAAACAAACAATAGTCATACCCAAAAAAAGACGAAAGAACTGATGCCAAATCAAACCCGGAAACTTAAAAGAAAATAAAACCAATAAAATCAAAAGAAAACTCAACGACATACCAATTCATAATATAAGTATATCGATTAAAGTATTCCCTTTTGGGACCATGTTTTTAGTTAATTTTACACAGTAAATATTGGTGTTGATGGGTAAACTGAAAACTTGATGGTCTCAATAGAAAAGAAGAAATAACAAATGAGGAAATGGTGGTGGATCATAACAGCGAAGGGATGAAAATGTCGTTTTTCATGAATAAAAGACCAACAACGCAAGAAATTGAAACCACAACGACCATTGTCATTAATAAAAAAAGCTAGAGAAGAAAAATGTATCTATAGAACCATAGGGACCATTTGTGTATTTTGTGTAGAATATATTATTGAAGATATGAAACCGAAGGAGCATTTGTTATACATTTTTTTTTCTTAAATCGATTTTGTCAACTCTTTGTATCATAAAAAAAGTAGTGAAGAAAACTGTATATCTAGAGAACCATTGGGACCATTTATGTATTATTGAAGATGTGAAACCGAAGGAGTATTTGTTAGACATTGTTTTTTAGCATCAACTGTTTATATAATATGCTACTTTTATAGTCGCCCCCCCCCCCCCCCCCCCCCCTGGGGTTCTATATATACACCAAAAAAACCTCCATTGTTCCTCAACATCGTCAAGGTTTGTAGTTGCAGCAATCACGCATGGCTCTCTCCATCAGTTCGGAAGCAGATCAGGTAATGCACTCATGGTTCCTTCTATCTATAGGATTATGTTTGGTTTGTTTTGGCTTAAAAGTTCACATTTTATCCATTAGACTTCATGGTTGATAAAATATAAAACTAAATGGATTTAGCTCTTGGTAAATTAATAGATAAAATTGTATACTCTCTTTATTTGTTTGTGTTCGCACATCAACTATTGAATGATCAGTTTATTAGCTGTTTGATGGGGCATCATTTCAAAAAAAAAAATTAATTTGTAACGTAAAATGATGTTTTTGTGGGTTATTATTGCTTTCAAAGATATGGATTCCTCAAATTAGCTAGAGAGACTTGGGTGTTAGAGAATATGTAATGGCTGGTCCTTAGAAATAGTGAATGAGGGGCTTTATAATGAATTAGGGGTAATATCGCACGTTGTCCAAGGATGTAATTATGTTTTTTTAAAATAATCGTGAGTAAAAACTAAAAGTATGTTAAATTTTATGTTATTACTTCAGATTTTAGGCATTAAATGAATTATCAAACAATAAAAAAAAAATATGTTAACGGGTATTTTGATTCTAACTAGTATCGTCAAAACATTTTAATTTTATACTATCTAATAAATATTATCACTTTTTTTGTATTATTAATATAATATAAATACTCTTTAACATGTGTTTTCTAGCATCCAATAATATTTTAGGATAAAAATATAAAGTTGCATTAAATAAACCACTGATAAATAATATTTGACCTAATACATTTTTTACTACACTATTTATATTACCCCAAAAGGTCCAATTTTAGATTTAGATATGAACATTCAAAAGTTATTATTATTATTATTATTATTATTATTATTATTATTATTTTTGAAAGTTAAATTGATTAAATAATTAATGACGTGACTATGTTTTTAATTTTTTTAACAGAAATCTATCAGAACTTATTTCGTATACCAAAATATTTGATTGTTTTGGCAGGTAATTTTTGAAGACATTTTGGGAGGAAGAAAAGTGATACTTAACAGACCAAAGAAAATGAACACCCTCAACTATGAGACGGTATTGATAGATTATGTATCATATATAATATATTCTGTGCATGACCTTTCCATTTAGCATGTCATATATATATATATATATATATATATATATATATATATATATATATATATATATATATATATATATATATATATATATATAAACTCAAATACAAGTAAAATTATAAGAATATTTTTCCCAAGAATAGTTTTTAATCAAAACATAACAATTGTAAACGTTATAAACCCTTAAAGCAATTGTAAACATTATAAACCCTTTTATTTATATATATATATATATATATATATATATATATATATATATATATATATATATATATATATATATATATATATATATATATATGCATATTTTAAGAGGCACAACTATTTCGAAATTGTGCATACATATGCACATGACCTAACTAATATATATATATATATATATATATATATATATATATATATATATATAATATGGATTGACATCTATTATGCGGACGTATAAATAATGTTATTTTGTAAGAATGAAAAATAAAATATATTGTTTGATAACATGAATATGTTCAATCTTACATAATTATTGTCGTTGTCACACATTCTGATTAATTAAATTCTCTATAAGGTTATTATTAACTTTTTATTATTATTCTTATTTTGTCAGAATATTATTAGAATTTTATCGAATCGTATTCTGTAAGAATGAAATAAATAAAAACTGATGCGTCAGAACAAAAATAAATAAAAACTATTGAAAATGCATGAAAATAATAATAGTTGTGTGAAGTTGAACGTATTTACATTAGTAAACAACGTATTTTCTTAGTACTTTTCATACAATAGTATTGTCCACATGTTCACATAATAGTTTTCCATCCCCACACACACACACATATATATATATATATATATATATATATATATATATATATATATATATATATGTGTGTGTATGTATGTGTGTGTTTAAAAAAAGATTAGATGTATTAAAATATTCTTTTTTAGCATTTTTTTTAAAAGTTTCTAGGTTTCATAAATCTAAGTTTTTAATGGATCTCATTTTGTTATTCTTTTCTCTTCTCTTTGTGATGTCGCTCATGTTGTTTGGTTGCAGATAAGAAGAATGTATGAGCAATTAAAGATTTACGAGAGTGATCCAACAATTAAGATTGTTATTCTGAAGGTATAAAACTACTTTCAAGATTTGAAAACTTAGAAAAAGCAGTTGTTGACTTGTTGTAAAACTTTAGTCCGACTGTTAGATAACTTGTTAAAATTCAAAAAATTATACTATGAGTCGGAATGGCTGGAGCTCCTTTTTAAGCAACAAAAATTCCGTTATTTTGGAATTTGTCAATAATTACAAGTTGCTTTCTCCCTGTTTTTGTTTTGCGGTTTCTAATTTTATTTGCCAAACTCATAAATTCCAATGGTCATTTTTTTACGGGGCATAATTAGTAAATTTTCAATTAAATAGATATCACTTTTCTAATTTTTTTAAACATTTGCAACGTTTGCTTTCGAAACAACTCTAAACATGGACTTTTTTTGTGTAACTTAGATCGATAATTTTAATGTATTCTCTAAATTGGATCAAAGATACGAATGTTTTGTAGTCAAAGTTCAAACCTAAACAACAGACTATTTAAAGACATAGGCTACTTTTCTAAAAATAAATAAATAAATAACTATAGATATACTTTTTCTGTAAATTACAGGTACAATAAATAAAACTTGTTTTTTATATAAGAACCAAATTAGAATATTCTAAACTATACTATTCATAAACCATAAACCTTATTTGTTTTTATTATATATAATAATACCAATTTTTTAAAACCCGGGTTTTTAGTTGACCCGGTGTGATGATCGGTTCACGGGTCAACCGGTTCAACCGGTTGAACCGCCGGGTCAACCCGGTTTATGATCTTTTTCTATTTTTATATATTTTTATTTTCATGTATAATCCATAAACATATAAAACCAATAATTTGATGTCCACAAAGTTTAAACATTGAAAAACATTAAAGAAATCGCAAACGACTCGTTGTTTTGACGTTCGATACTTGTATCCAACTATCCAAACCCTATTAAAATGGGTCAATCCGGTTTTAACCGGTTCGATATAGGCGGTCGAACCGCGGTTTAGGGGAAACCTGGCCGGTTCGATCCGGTTCGTATTTTTACAAAAAAACGGTCTCAATTAACCCGCTTTCTACACCGGGTTACGGTCCAACCGGTTCAACCTGGATTTTAAAACATTGAATAATACCATGTGTTTGGATTGAAATATAATATACTTTAAAGGAAATTCTAATCAAAGATATACAGAACTTTGTTTTACCTCGATAAAAGGCAACACAATTTAGAAATTTAAAATGTGACATTTACTTTTAAAGTGATGATCAAAACTGGAGAGTAGCTTGGTGCTTCGGTAAAGGGACCAATTACGGGTAAAAATAAGTCCTTGAGATAAAATAAATGATATTTTGTATAATAATAATAATAATAACAATAATAATAATAATAATAATAAATTAAAGTCTGTTAACTTTGAAAGGGACACGGAAACAAGTATGTTACAGTTTTATGCAATTTGCTTGATAAGTAACATGTTTAATTTGATTGTCAAAATATCATTTAAAACTAATCTAATTTATGTAATTAAGGCTCAATCCATTTGACTGATCATTGGTATTTAATACAATATTTTATTTTACCAATTTTGCAAGTTAAAGTTTAAATATAATCCAAATCGACACTTTTACTTACAAATTGGTAAGAGTTTTCTTATTCTACAAATTAAGACCATAATTTTCTTTACATATGATATAACGTGTATAATAATTTCCATCACCTATTCACCTTTGGTTCGCTAATCTTTCTTATAGTGCAAAAAAACATAAAATTATTATCGATTGGCCTCTTAAACACAACCGCAATGCCTAACATTTTTGTACACAATATAAAAAATTTGAATTTTTTTCCTACTTCTTGCCACTACTATTTTTCCGGATACCACCCCTACTATGAAATCTTGTGTGTTCCTGGCTCTTGAACATAAATAGTTTTCCAAGAGTAATCAAACCAATAAATTTTTTGGACAAGATCATATATGGTTTTCAGATAGAAAAAGATTAGAATATAAGACAAATCATGATAACCGAGTTATGTAACAAGAATATTTTTTACTTAATATACCACATTGTGAATGTTTCACTTTTAACAGTCTCGTCTTGATCTACAGGCATATGGGAAAGCTTTTTGTGCCGGTGGTGATGTCACGTCTGCCGTTAACCTTGCAGCTTTTGGTAAGGGCAAACTTCTTTTAAACCTTGATATATATGATGGAGAAAATTAATTCAATCAAAACTACATCGTTTAATTTTATCAGGACATTGGAGTTTCGTGATGAGCTTTTATTGTAAACAATTTTCTCTCGACTACCTACTTGCAACATATAAGAAGCCAATGGTTTCAATTCTAGATGGAAGCGTTATGGGAGGAGGAGTTGGGATATCCATACATTCCACATTTAGAATTGTTACCGAGAATACGGTATATATCCATATGGTTTTCTTGTATTATACTATTATATGACTATTATATGTAAGTGTTTTTCTGATGACTTACATATATTTTGACATACAAAACATATTATCGTAGATATTCGCGATGCCTGAAGCATCGATTGGCTTGTTTCCTGATGTTGGTGCATCATATTTTCTATCACGACTTCCAGGATTCTTTGGTAAGTTCTTCATCTCAAAATCACATTATAATAATTTACGTGTATAAATAGTAACACTGATTTAATTATGAATCAATTCGTATGTCTATGTAGGAGAATATATAGGTCTGACTGGTGTTCGTTTAGATGGAGCTGAGATGCTCGCGTTGGGGCTTGGAACTCATTACATCCCGTCCAAGGTTGTCACCTCTCCCTCATTGTTGTACACCATTTTTCAAGCGACTCCATATGCTAATATGTGGTATTCTTATTATTTATTATAGAATTTACAATCTATGGAGAAGGCTATAGAAAAAATGGTTGCTTCATCAGATGCAATAAGTGTAGCAACAATGTCCATGGTTATTAACAAGTTTGCACAAGAAGTAAATGTTAAGCCGGGTAGTGTTACTGATAGGTACAAACTCGTGACCTCGTGATCGGATGCAACTTAACAATTTCAGTTGGCTTATTGAAAACTTGGTCATTTTGAGTAACATTTTATTCTTATGTTTGAAATGGATTAACTAAAAAGATTAGGTAAAAAGTAATTTGATAATGGGTAAATGAGTCAAAAGTAAGACAAATGGTGTCCATGATCATAAAAAAATTTATTTCTAGTAACATTATTTGTCGTTTGATTTATCTCTATTTTACCAGACTGAAAATGATCAACCAATGCTTCTCCGGAGAAACATGTGAAGAAATATTATCGTCACTAGTAAGTTTATTTCATAATTAAATCAAATGTATACATGCGTTTGCAATCACCTTTCACAATTTAACCGGTTAACACAAAAATGGTTTTTGATATGAATAATTACGTTATTGTTTCTAAATAATCAGTAATTTTATCGTTGATTGGTATAATATTAACCATAATGAATAAATTCGAAAAAGTGATAACCAAAAAAAATTGTCACTTAAATTAGTAAGAAGCCTATTTCGTTGTATATTTAAAAATGGGTAATTAAAAAGATGAAACACAGTTGCATAAAAATACATTTAGTCTTTATAGTTACAAAAGTGAAACACATTGATTTAGAGGAATATGCCTTAATACATTTTGGATATATTTTCAGGAACGTTTGTCTATGCAAGTACAAGAGAAGTGGATCAACCATGCAATAACATCAATGAAAACCGCATCTCCAATATGTCTCAAGATTTTCTTGAAAACAGTGAGTAATATAAAGATTATGAAAACTTCTTTGCTGATTAATTATTGAAAAAAAAATTGTTGTATGATAGATTAGAGAAGGCCGATCCACCCATATCGAGCAATGTCTTGGGACTGAATACATTGCTCTCTCTCACATCCTACGCAAAACAGTTAGCAACGACTTCTACGAGGTTGCCATATATTTCTCATAGATATTTGGATGATCACACGTTCAATATAACTTACACTCATATCATTAAAATGTTCTTTACACAGGGAGCTAGAGCTATGTTGATAGAAAAAGATAAGAAACCCCAGGTAAACACAACATTTAAATTTACACATACTAGCTAGAAACTTTTGATGAAATCACTCACATTTGTTAATGTCGATAGTGGGGACCCCCGAAACTAGAGAAAGTTAGTGACCAAATGGTGGCCCAATGCTTTTCAAGATCGTTTAGCGTAGACGATGATTGGCTACCTTTACGACTTCCACCAAGATTTGATGAAACAAATGATAGAAGATCAAAACTCTAGAACAAAAGACTCCTAAAACTTAAGGTTCTTGGTCTTTTGTAATAAGCATTTGAAGTCCTTCGAAACTCTGAATAATATTCCTTTCTTGTTGCTTTATACATAAATATATATGGTCAATCTTAAATAAATAAACATTTTTATTTTATTGCTAATACTACATAGCAAGTTATTTGATATATATTTTGTTATGATTGATCATTCCAACAATAAATTATATATAACTATTCCTATTTTATCGTTTTTGGTTATTACATTTAAATTGTAACTTAATGGCTTTAAATTAATAAACACTTGTTTCAATTGTTCCATTTAAACTTTTTGGACCATCCTACCGAAAATACAAAATACACCGCAATCAAATACGGTTGCAATAAAATACTCACCTCTCGGGAATGTAGAACTGACAAAATAAGATTAGCTAATCCCCGACGCGCTGTTTCAAATCAATTGTCTATAATCATCATGTGATTAACTCGTCAAAATCTTGTAGACGCCCTTAAAGTCAACCCTGGTCAATAGTCAAGGTCAACAGTCCATGTTGACCTTTACTCGTCGAGTGTATCCAACAACCCGTTGAGTTTTCTAAGTAATTCCTCCACTCGTTGAGTTACATGTCTAACTCGCTGAGTCCCTCCGAAAACTCATGAATACCGAACCGAAAACTCATGAAATCGAAAACTCATGAAACCGAAAACCGATGACAACCGAAAACTCGTGAAACCGGAAACAGGTAAACCCTGATCGACTCGCCGAGTCAACTAATGAACTCGACAAGTTCCTTTAGTCCCTTTCATGTTCAGCCTTTTTTAGTGGGATCTAAGGTCCCAAACTCCAGATCCAAACTCTCCTAGAGCAGATACCACGTAAAGTTGCAAACTTTACGTGCATGCAAGGTCCTCCAAGGCTATAACTTCAAAACTAGGCTTCCCACAAGGTTCTCATGCATGGAAAGGGGCTAAGCTGGACAAAGTGAGTAACTTTATGCCATTAAGGACCTAGAGGCATCCAGATCTGGAGCCATATCCTTGTAATAGGTCTAGATCCAAGTTTGACTCTGTTTTTTCCCCAAAATGGTCATTTACTTTCAAGAGAAGAGATCTAAGAATCTACAGCTCAAGGTAACGACTTTTTACCTTAAAACAGTGGCCAATACATTATAGATGTTGGATCTACTGCTTTCCTTCTTGCTCCTTCTTCTAAAGCCCTTCTCCAACACACTAGAGTTTGTTAATCAAAGTTCTTACTCTCACTCAAGGGGGGTTTTCGGCTGAAAACAATTTTCTCTGGGTAGTAAGGTGCTAAGGGAGGCCACAAGGGGCATGTTATGATCCTTATATAAGCTGTAAACCCTCAAATTAGGGTTTTCTCTTTACGTCTCCTACTCACCGAGTCGGGCCTTCCGACTCGTTGAGTAGGTCCTGACCCCCACGTCCATGAGATGGCCTCTACTCGACAAGTTGGGGTATCCAACTTGCTGAGTCCATGCATAAAGCCCTCAAAAAATCATGTAACTTACTTAATACCTAAAACAGGTGTTACAAATCTCCCCCACTTGAACTAGACTTCGTCCTCAAAGTCTGTTGCCCCAAACAAATCCAGTAGTGGTCTCGCATTTCGTCCTCCAGCTCCCAAGTCCATTTGAAGCCCCTGCGGTGCTGCCATTGCAGCTTCACCAGCTTCACTCCCTTGTTTCGAAGAACTTTCGTTTTCCTTTCTAAGATTGCAACCGGCCTCTCAATATAGTTTAGGCTCTCATCCATCTCAATGTCGTCCAGCAAAACGACTGCGACCTCATCAGTGACACACTTCCGAAGCTTTGACACATGGAAGGTGTTGTAAATTTGGCTAAGCTCATCTGGCAGATCCAAGCGATATGCCACTTTGCCCACTCGGGCCGAAATCCTGAATAGACCTATATATCGGGGTCCTAGCTTGCCCCTCTTTCGAAATCTGATGACCCCCTTCCATGGTGACACTTTCAGTAGTACAAAGTCCCCAACCTGGAATTTGAGATCTGATCACCACCAGTGAGCATAACTTTTCTGACGGCTCTGTGCGACTCGCAGCTGGTCGCGCACCTGCTGAATCAGTCTGGTAGTCTTGAGCACTACTTTAGTGCTCCCTATGACCCGGTGTCCAACCTCACCCCAACAGACCGGGGTTCTGCACTTCCATCCATACAACATCTCGAATGGGGCCCGGTCGATACTGGCATGATAACTGTTATGGTATGAAAACTCTACCAGTGGGAGGTATGTGTCCCAACTACCTCTAAAGTTCAACACACAAGCTTGCAGCATATCCTCCAGTGTATGGATTCTCCTCTCGCTCTGGCCATCTATCTCGGGGTGGTACGCCGTGCTGAAATGTAGTTGAGTACCCAATTCCTTGTTGAACTTCTTCTAGAACCTAGATGTAAACCGAACATCCTTGTTAAAGACTACCGAAACTAGAACCCAGTGTCTAGCCACCACCTCTCTCACATAATCATCCTCCAACTTCTCAGAGGATATACTCTTAGTGATTGAATAAAGTGGGCACTCTTCGTCTGTAACAACGTGAATTTTCAAAACAATTTTTCATTTTTCAAACAACATAAACCATCATTCAATATTCTCAAATCTCATGTTTAGCAAATGTCATCACAATAAAAATACATCCCAAGATCATAAAATAAATCTTCCATCAGTGTGTACAGATCATGTCGGCGCCTTCCCACGGTCCTCGCTAGTACCTAAAACACATAACACAACAACTGTAAGCATAAATGCTTAGTGAGTTCCCCAAAATACCACTTATACACATACGCCCTTCCAGGCCATGACCTTCCGGTCCATGTGTCTCAGGGGACTTCCGTCCCAACTCGGTAAACCTTCCGGTCCTACCCATGTCGACCTTCCGGTCCTAAAATCCTTGACTTTCCAGTCTACATCATAATGCCTTCCGGCCCATAACATAATGTCTTCCGGCCCATAACAAGCATAACATACATGGCACATACAAAACGGTTAACTAATCACATGCAATGCATATATCTTATAGCATATCAGACCTTCTGGTCACACATAGGTACCCTTCCAGGTACAGTATACTGAGAAGACTCACCTTTGATATCTCGGTAAACCACTGACTCAGTAGAAATACGATCTAGCTTCCACCTAAACACATAAAGTAATATTCTCATAAATATAACTCCCAGAACTAGACTCTACTTTCTCTAAGCTCCCTCAGAAGGGTGAAAGACCATGTTACCCCTCCTTTGGCTCAAAGGCACTCGCTGTTGACCAAACCCCAAAAAGTCAACCAAAGTCAACGGTCAAACGTTGACCCGACTCAGCGATTGCACTTGGGCAACTCCGCAAGTCCGCCTGTGTCCACTTAACTCTTTAGTCCCATTTAACACGTCGAGTCCCTCCCTTTACTCGACGAGTCTCCAGTCAAGAATCGCGGGGCTACCCCGACTCAACTCGTCGAGTCCCAAGAACAACTTGGCGAGTACCTACCATGCACAACTTCTATTGACCTCCTGAGGTCAGATCTGTTCCTCAAATCCATAGATATGTCCTTCCCAAGCAATATAATCACGTAAAGCTCGAAACTTGATGCTTATATATATACATAATGGCATCAAATGGTGATTTAGTCCCAAAAATGGCAACCTAAGTCCAATCACGCCACAAAAACTCATAAAGCTTCATGGGTTGAAGTCTCTGGACCCCCTTTGAGTCCAGATCCAAACACAAACTCGAGAGGGGACTAAATACTCTGCATATTCTTCTTCTAAAGGGCCATAACAAAACCCAAACTCTATGAATCAACACCCAAAACTGGAGAAGGTCCGAAGGAATACCTTAATATGAAGCCTTTGATCTCTAAAGACACTAGCTTTGCACTTCCTTCAGCCTTCTTTTTCCTTGGTCACCTCTTCCTTCAAATTTTACCAACAATTGATCAACAATGGCCTCTCTTCTCTTCACAAGCGATCTATGACTATCTCTAGGGTGTGGTAGCTGCAATGGACGGCCATCAGGGCCTTTAAATAGGCTCCAACCCTGGAGGATTTGGGTTTCATTAAACAGTGTGGACTCGCCAAGTCCACTCATGGACTCGCCGAGTCCAACGCGAACTCAGATGATCAACCGCGACCCTACTCGGCGAGTCTAAGCATCAACTCGCCGAGTTCCTTCACAAATTCCAAAAATAAAATATTAAAATAATATACCTGGGATTCCGAGTGTTACAATTCTCCCCCACTAGAATCAGACTTCGCCCTCGAAGTCTCATTCTGCAAACAATTCTGGATGTTGCTTACCCATCTCGCACTCCGGCTCCCAAGTCAGCTCTGACCCCTTCCTATGCTGCCACTGCACTTGCACCAAAGGCACTTCCTTGTTCCTCAGAACCTTGACCTTCCGATCCCTAATTGCCACCGGTCTCTCAACGTAGTTCAGGCCTGCATCCACCTGAATATCCTCTAATGGTACCACTACCGACTCGTCGGCTATACACTTCCTCAACTGCGACACATGAAAGTGTCGTGAATCTAACACAACTCCACAGGTAAATCCAAACGGTAGGCTACCCTGCCTACCCTCGTAATTACTCTGAAAGGTCCAATATATTGAGGCCCCAAATTGCCCCTCTTCCTGAATCGGATCACTCCCTTCCAAGGAGAGACCTTTAAGAGTACGAAGTCACCGACCTGAAACTCGAGCTCGGACTGATGCCTGTCCGCATAACTCTTCTGACGACTCTGAGCGATCAACAACCTCTGCCTGACCTGCTATATCTGCTCAGTCGTCTGAAGCACGATCTTCGTACTACCCATTACACGTTTCCCTACTTCTCCCCAACATATGGGGGTCCGACACCTCCTACCATACAATAACTCAAAGGGTGGCATACCAATGCTCGAGTGATGGTTGTTGTTGTAGGAAAACTCAGCCAAGGGCAAATACATATCCCAACTCCCTCCGAAATCCAAAACACAAGCCAGAAGCATATCCTCGATTTTTTGAATCATCCACTCACTCTGCCCGTCCGTCTGTGGGTGGTATGCAGTACTGAAATGTAGCCTCGTACCCAACTCCTCGTGAAACTTCTTCCAAAATCTAGAAGTAAATCGCACATCTCGATCTGAAACAATTGATATC